GAGCGAGCTCTAGAGGAGAGCCACATGCCTTGAATAGTCCCTGTGACAGCCAGTGGTGGAGTCGGAGGTGAAGGGGCTGTAGGTGGCTCTGGGTTTTTAGTAATGGAATAGGTGTTCCTAAAGCAACGGGAGAGTTGGAGAGGATAGGTGGGAGTCAAGGGAGGGGACTCTAATGTACAGAAGGAAATGGAGGGAGAACTGGAATTTGGGCACCAGTGAGGAGGAGGTAGTCACTTCACTTTACACTGGTAATTTATTTAACATTGGTAAGTGTTCTGTGGGGCTGGGAGAGAAAACGCAGGCTGATACTATCTGCAGCATAGGAGAACCTAGGAGATTATGGCTTTGTGAAAGTCTTTCACCCAGATTTGATGCTGGTGTGAATTTCATTGTGTCTGAATTAGTTTGGTAGTAGTTTTGGCCCATTTTCTATGCTCAGGTGTTTAATTTTTCAATTCAGACCTACCACTGCTGAATGCAGGAGTAGAAGCTGTTCCTGTGGTAGAAGTGGCAAAGAGAAAATGCTTTCAGGAAGATGTATCCTTTCAGTGTGGGAAGGGTTGTTAATCAGGGACCCACCAGGAAAACCAATTCTGGATCCTTGTGGGCTGCACCATCAGAGAAACCAGAGAATACTTTAAGTTACCAGGAGCACATCGAAGCTTTGAAATATGAAATTAACTGATAATTTTCATAGGTCACGCTCTTTCCCGTAAACCAAACTCATCTGCTCTCCTGAGGGGAGACAGAACAACTGGGCTGACTTCTCATTATCTCTTCCTATGGCGTATCCTTATTGAATTACTGCCGGGTAGAGGCAGCAGATGCTCATCAAGCCACTGCAGGACTCCTCTGTTAATTGAACTGTAATGGGGATGACAGCAGGGAAGGTCAGGATGATGGGACCAATGATGTAACCTGAACTCTGGTAAGAACAACCTGCATGGGCAATTGACCTTGCTGAAATAGTATTATACTGAAGGCTTTTATCGGTTGATATCATTGATTATTTTTTTGTATTGATACTGCAATAGTGTCAGGGACCTCTGTGTGAATCATATTATATTGTGTTTGGGGCAAATATATTTCTCACCTGAAAGAGATTAGACTTTCCAATGTGATAAAATACAGTGAGTGACTATAACAGGGGAAAAGAAATGGGAATGAAAAAGGTAACAATGACAAAATTTTTAAATAGATATATAGCTTTACTCAGCTGGTTTAAAGGGTAGTATCAGTCTTTCTAGCTGCCCTTATGGCAATTTGGTATTTCTGTTGTTGTCATGCATAGTTAATCCTGGGGTGAAAAAAAGTCCACTTTTAAATAAATGTGCAGATGTTAATGGTTTTTGATATGAAAAACATATTCCTCCACCTGGTTCTGTGTCTCCTGCAAAGTGCCTGGGAATGCCTGAGTTTCAGGCATGCATCCTAATGCCAGGCTGTGAGCCGGAGCGTGTGCCTGGTGTTTCCTCCGCTCCGGGAGAAGGGATGTGATGTGATTGTGTGAGCTCCTGGCTGATGTGTGCATCTTCTGTGGAGGCATGTTTTTCCTGGGTGCTATTGCTGCAGGGGGGGAAGTGAGGTCTCTGAAGCCTTCCCTGAAGACCCTCGTATGGTGGCATGAGGAAGTTTGGTATAAGCTGTAGCTTGCGAGTTTCTGAAAATAAATCCCGCCTAAAAACCAAATGCTACTTTTCAGTACAAGCTGTCTGTTATTACCCTGTGTTACTCTTGGTGTGTTCGAGTAAGTCTGTATGGCAATTAGCAAAAGCTGGATTCAGAGCGCAGCATGTGCATGTTGGCATCTGAGCGTGCGTTCAGAAGCAGTTTTTAGAAGTTCTTTATCCCAATGTCACTCATTTTTCTCTTGTGTGTTCAGCCTTCACCATGTCTTTCTTTTTTTTAAAGTAATATCATTTTTTTGTTAACCCTTTTATTACTCTACCTGGGCCAACTGGCATCAATGACTGGGACATCCGTTGCAAAGTGAATGGAAGGAAAATGAATGAATCAGTAGTCAGGCATCACAAAATATATTTGATTAATTTATTTTGACAATTCTATGTAATTATTTAAAGTACATATTCTTACGCAGGACCTGACATACAGGGTTTTATTCTGCAGAAGTGATGAAGCCTTGGTTGTAGGAGACTTCATCACAGGACTTCGCTGGTGATGTTTGATAGGAAATGAAGAACTACAGTGTCGGTGTTTGATTAACTGTCCTCTTCCGTAGAGCCTGTGTGTTTCTGGAGTGGTATAGTGGTTTCATTGCATTGTGCTTCATATTTTTTCCTTTCCTATGAGTTTGTACTTTGGTGCACTGAAATAAACAGCTGATGACAGAGGATGCATTGGAATAAATGTTTATTTCAGCACTTTGGAAATGAGTTTTTTGAAATGGAATTTATCTTCTGGATGTGTGTGTGTCTCTTCATATTAGCTCATTTGGGTATAGACTAGAGGTAGTGCAAATGGCAAAATAATAACGACTACATACAAATAGAGGTATGAATATTGTGGAAAAGAAATTATTCTGACTGTATTACAGCAGAAGGAAAGCTTTATACATTCAAGAAGTATTGAAGTTGGCTTCTGCATATTTATGTGTACAAGAGTGGGGTTGTTTTAATCATACTCACCAATACTTAGAGATTCAAAACTGAACCCCACGTATTCTTCCTCAGAACTGAATAACAAGTTAAAAACTGTAACATCTTCCTGCCTATCTAGTTAATTTGGTTGGTCAGATGCTTGGGTGTGTGCATGCACTGGATTGCTCTGGTTGTTCCATAGAAGTGTAAAATTATAACAATTTAAGCTGGAGATAAGCTTCAGATTTGCCAGTCCTGGGGCAAGGAAGCAGATGGTCTTTTCCCTACTAAGCAGAGCCTAAGCCTTTGCTGGGCTCATATACTTGGTGCTACTTGATTGTATTATTTTGACCTTGTGTTTAAGATTGATAAACTCTGTGTGGTGGCCGTGTTCCAGTAAGGAGAAAAAATCCCGTCTGACCTACAGCCCATGATGCTGTATTAATGTCAAATATTATAATGTAATATCAGAATGCAGAAGAAAATCACTGCAGTAAAGCAATTTAATTTCTGTGAACTGAAAGCACTTTAATGGGAATACTAGGAAAATCTGCTGTTGTTCCTGCAGCAGAGGTTATGAGGCATTTTTTTCTTTTTTTTTGAAACTCTGCTGACTTGTAACTGGTGACTTTGAAGATTTCTGTTGTTTGCCATGTGAATGGATGGTCATGCTGCTAAAGTAGGGAGTTTGTTCTCTGCTGAGTCTGATTTCCAGGTTTGCCTCTTAAAGGAAAATAATTTAAAATACTGGTTTTCAAGTGGTATTATACTGCTGAATGTGCATTATGTGCAGTGTTTTGCCAGTGAAGTGAGAGTAATCCTCTTTGAACAACAACTTGCAATAGCATTTACTGAAATGGCGCTGGAAGTGGTGCCAGCTCCCTTTCCCTTTGTCTGCTTAATTGCAATTTAACAGTAATCCAAGATCTATGCAACTGTGACAGCAATTCTTAGATATAGCTGTGTTCAAAAGGACCTTTATTTCATCCAGTGCCAATGATAAAAGCTGCAGCAGAACAGCATATTGATAAGAGACTCAAACTTTTATCTATCCATTGAAAAATAAACAAAAAGAAACTTTCTTTCCATCAAAGGTATAAAGTTTTGTTGTTACAGGAAGGATGTGCTATAGCAAGGAGACATGACTGAGTTTATTCTGGGCTGTGTTCTGCTGTGCTGGCTGACCAGCCAGCCATGAGGAGGCATCCAGGTGTAGGTGCATATAGGCTATACACATAACCTATACTAAAAAAACCCCCGAACTTACATAGGTTCAGGATGCGACTCCCTAAGTTTTATAAGAGGGCTGTCAGATACAAAGCCCTTCTGACTCAGGAGGTGTGGAAGCCACAGTTTTTTGGAGGCTGGGAAGGTGTAGTGAGAAGTGTTGTTTATGCATGCTTTGTTCCTATACTGCACCCTGGGAATTTGGCATCGCTCTCCTGTCAGAGGCAGGATCTGGGACTTTGTGGATGTTTGGTTTGAGTCGCTACAGCCTTTCTTGTATTTAATTAAATATATGAAAGTGCACAAGCGGTGTGAAAAGGTTAGTTAAAAGTTATTGGACACTTTCCATGTTCTGCTGCTCAGAAAAAAATCAATGCCCGAGTTCACAAAAGAAACCTATTGACAGTCTTGAGCGTTTTGATCTTAATTGCTCTGTACTTGTTCCTGCTGTGAGGAGTATGATAATAGCTTGAAGAACATTTGTGAAGGTAAATTAGCCTCCTCTGAGTGCTAAGATATAACACCAAAAGGTCCGTGGCTGTTAAATACCAGTGAGAAGTCCAAGGCTTGGATAACACTTGGGCACTTGCGTACTGGGTCACACTGAATGATTTTTGTAGAAGGAAATGTCAGGGTGCTCCTTGGTTGTTGAGCATGGTTCATTCTGCTCTCCATGGGCATGAGGGCTGTAAGTGGCTGTGTGATCATGCAGCTGAAGAATATCAGGATGGTGCCTTTCACAAACTCTTGAAACCTTGACTTTGAAATCTCCCTGCTCTTCTGGCAGAGTATAAACCATACATATTTTTTGTGCAAATTAATCAAGTTTTGCTTCAACTACACTTAACCAATCTTCTGAACTAGGTTCCTCAGAAAAGTCTGAAGTCACATATACTCTTTATTATTGAAAGTCAAGTGTGTTCCCATAGAATCCATTGGACATACTTAGAGTGAAGGAGATGTAACAGCAGTGTCGTTTCACAGAACAGTTCTGCTCTATCACTGTTTTAATTAAAGTCATTCTACTGATGGAAAGTATATTCTCTGGTGTTTTCTTTAATGTAGTCCTAATGCATCAGTTTGAGCTCCCTTGCTGGAACATCTTTCATTATAATCCACTTAGCTAAGTTTAATTATAAACTTCTAAATTAAAACCTGCTTTTGTTACATTTTTAGGATGTACGAAAACGGAAGCAGGAAAACAGGATTCATGGTTTTTACCCCAAACAAATCAATGTAAGTTAAGAAGCAATTTGTTAGCAGTACAGTCATTTCATATTCTTGGTTTTAATCCTCAGAATCTTCCATAGTTTTGGGACAAGAAGTGGATGTGGTTCAATAGAAGAAAAAAGATGAAATAATTAATAGATTCTTACTATTTGACTATAGACATCACCAAAATACCTGAACTTTCAAATAAAACTGGTAAGTATGGGGACTAGCTACTGAGTTTTTCAGCAACTGGGTGTTGAGGAAGGTTGTTTAAGGTTTATGCATGAAAATGTACCAGGGTAAATTTATGTTCAGCTTTGTTGATCTGGAAGTCGTGGAGGCTTACTCCCAGCCCAAAGGAGGCTGGTTTAGACTGTCTGCTGGTTGTTTGGAGTTATCTTCCCTATGCAGATGTGTTAACACCAGATGTTCTTTCAGGCATTATTTATCCTTACAGATACTGTAGCAAATTACCAAGGAATCGTGGATCTTAATGTTTGATTCCTGATGAGTGACCACTTAGAACAAAAATACTGTCAGGCAATTGTCAACCTGATGTATAAATTTACCTCATTCATGTTGTGTATTTTTACCCAGGATTTTCTAAAATGCTCCTGAAAAAAAGGTAAATGTGCTCAATTAAGGTTTGGAGATGAAGTAATGTATAGAAAATCAAACTCTCCTCATATATGCAAAGTCACTCTGCTGAAATCAAGAAGAGTGCTTGCAGAATCAAGTATTGGTGTCAGAGCGTGACCTGAAGTGGCTTTTTGCATAGGAGGTTTCTGACACAACGGAAAGTGGAATGAATTTAGGGTGCCCCTACTTTAACCAGAAGACTATCTCCCTCCAAACGTGTAAGTGAAAGAGTGTATAATGTTTGTTTTCCACATGGAAGTAAAGGCAATTTAGTGTAACTGTTGTTCATCATGAAATGAAAAATTGGACGTTACATACAAACAGCTGTGTCATGGGCACATATACACTTATTCTGAAAGTCCGTTCCTAGTTTGATGTATGTGACCATGCAAACACTTTGATTTTATTAAACTGAATACCTGTAGCACTGACATTAATGGGTTTTTTTTGGAAATATCTCCCCCAGGGATGATCTGAAGTGAATACCTGTGGTGGTCAGCCTTTGCTACTACAGGCCGGGCATTCTGCTGTTTTAGGATAGAATAGAATTAGCTTTTTGGATAACAGCTTTCTGAGAAAGCAACACAGATTTTACTGGTATCTGAGGATAAAAAGTATGCTATAAACATCCAGATTATCTTGGAATATCACAAGCGATGGGTTTGTGCTGTGTGTAGTAGGCAAACAGTTGCATAATTACTGCTTACATTTGTGTGAAGAAAATTTATTCATGATTAATGGTGCTTATCATTGTGCTAAACACCTGCCAAACAATTTATAGCCACACATATGATCTGCAATTGCTTTTTTTTTTTTTTTTTTTGTTGCTATTTAAAACGATTGGGATTATTATAATTGCATCATGTACTTTAAATGGAGAGTGCTACCCAGGTGTCCTTGTCAGCATTCACGTCTCATAGAAAAAGATTAGGTCAGATTTACCTGTGATGGGGAAGGTCACAACTCTGTTGAACTCTGTGGGAATTTAATTGATGTATGACGAGGCTGAAATCATGTCTCAGGTTTGGATCGGTTTAAGCTAATCTTTTTCTAAGTTCAGTAATAAATACTGTATGAGTCCATGTTGGAGTAGAGTCAGACTGAAGTTTCCTAAACCACAGAAATGATGCAGAATAGTTGAAGAAACCTCTTGTCTCATGGAAACTGCAGAAACAGCAACTGGTCCCTTTTCTAACTGTGCAATATGTGTAGAGTGGGGCGTCAAAATTGGACCATCAATCTTTGTCTTTCAGTGTTGGATGCTTTTGAGGACTCTAATGTGTCTTAGACTAGTCCAGTGCCTGTCACTTAGAAACATCTGTCTCTGAGTGCTCAGCAGTGGCTGGAAAAGGGAAAAAGTTTCTCAGAGGCTTTTTCCCCTCCCTAGCTAAGCAGGGGTTACACTGGGATTTGGCTGCTGGATATTTCATTGATGTTGAAAGTGAAATTAAATTTTGAACAATTCAGAAACAAGAGGTGGTGCATTGACCATCCTGGCTGGATGCTAGGTGCCCACCAAAGCTGCTCTATCACTTCACTCCTTGGCTGGACAGGGAAGAAGAAATATAACAAAAGGCTCGTGGGCTGTGATAAGGACAGGGAGAGATCACTCACCAATTACCATCACAGGCAAAACAGACTCAACTTGGGAAAAGTTACTTAATTTATTGCCAATCAAACCAGAGTAGGGAAATGAGAAATAAAACAAATCTTAAAACACATTTTTCCCAGGCTCAACTTCACTCCTGATTTCTCTCCCTCCTCCCCGCCAGCGGCGCAGGGGGACGGGGAATGGGGGTTGTGGTCAGTTCCTCACCCCTTGTCTCTGCGGCTCCCTCCTCCTCAGCGGGAGGACTCCTCACACTCTGCCCCTGCTCCAGCGTGGGGTCCCTCCCCCGGGAGACAGTCCTCCATGAACTTCTCCCACGGGAGTCCTGCCCACGGGCTGCAGCTCTTCAGAACTGCTCCAGCGTGGGTCCCTCCCACGGGGTGCACCCTCCAGGAGCAGACTGCTCCAGCGTGGGTCCCCCACGGGGTCACAGCTCCTGCCAGCAAACCTGCTCCAGCGTGGGCTCCTCTCTCCACGGGGCCGCAGGTCCTGCCAGGAGCCTGCTCCAGCCTGGGCTTCCCACGGGGTCCCGGCCTCCTTTGGGCACATCCCCCTGCTCTGGCGTGGGGTCCTCCCCGGGCTGCAGGTGGGCATCTGCTCCCCCCTGGACCTCCCTGGGTGCAGGGCACAGCCTGCCTCGCCATGGGCTGCCCCACGGGCTGCAGGGGAATCTCTGCTCCGGCCCCTGCAGCCCCTCCTGCCCCTCCTGCTTCCCGACCTCGGTGTCTGCACGCTTGCTGCTCTCACATATTCTCACTCCTCTCTCCAGCTGCAGCTGCAGAGTTTTCTTTTCCCCCTTCTTAAATACACGATCCCAGAGGTGCTGCCACCGTCGCTGCTGGGCTCGGCCTTGGCCAGCGGCGGGTCCGTCTCGGAGCCGGCTGGCGTTGGCTCCATCGGGCACGGGGGAAGCTGCTGGCAGCTTCTCACAGAAGCCACCTCTGTAGCCCCCCGCTAACAAAACCTTGCCACAGAAACCCAGTACACAGCTGGATGCATATTTATTTATTTAGAACATTTTGACACTATACTTGAATGCCATGTTTTCAGCAGAAATGTAGGTTTCTAAATTAAGTCTTATTCAAAACTGGTTTTATTCAATCCTGTCATTAAGAGGATTAGCAATGGATTAGATAATGTAAATGCATTGTTATGATCATTAGAAAACTTGCACGTGGCTTTTTCAAGACTGCCTGTATATTAACAGCTATATCAGCTAATGTATGATATCCTTGTTTTTCTGAACAAGATTTCATACAAACCAAACAAAATTAAGAGGATGCTTGTGACCAATCCGTCAAATATATGAACAGAACACCTCATTATTTAATTTCATGAGCATCTATTAGTGCAGACTATTAATTGTCTAGGCCTGTATTATAAAGGATTTTGAATAAATCTAGATAACCAGTTTTGGAAAAGTGAGATATTTTTCAGAGTAAAACACATATCTTGAATATATTTAAGATTAATGAATTTAATCATGACTAGTCTCAGTGAAGACAATTTTTAAAATGTAAATTTCATTTTTTTTCCCCATTTTTCTCTGTATTTGCCAGTTTACAGCTAGCCATGCTGACACATTTGGGAGCTGAGATATGCTACAACTAAATTTGATGTGAAGTGTTGGTGGCCTTCATAATGTAATTTATTCATGTTTCTGTAGATAGCATATGTTGCCTGTGCAATAATTTTTTATCGTATCAGGACAGAACAGCTACTGTTCCAAATTGTGTTATACAAACCTAGATATACAGACAATTTTGTATTGTACTTTGCTGTGGTGTAAATCAGTGGACTCTACTGAGCTCTGCTGAGGTGGGTGAGATTAGAATCAGTCTCATGGTGTCTAATTTATTTTGATTTTTTCTGACTTAATGTAATCTCTGTTCTTGCTCCATGGGGAGCAGCAGCCAGTTATCTTTGTAGTCCTGCCCAAAGAATGAACATATGTGAAACCCCTTGTTTTGGGCAGGAGGCTGCTACTCCCAGGGATTTACTGCTGTTTACTGACCGTTTGAATGCTGAGATGAAGGCAGTGTATTGAGAAAGCAGCTGATGACCGCTACTGGTGCTTCATTAAAAATCTTGGTGTCTTTATCAACTGTTATCTGAGGTTTTATTGGATTTGCCCATTTCATGCCTTGACCTGTTTAAGACATGTTGTTTTTACGGCATTCTTCTGGACCTGGAGAGCTGCTCTGCAATTCAGATGTGTTGTGTGTGCAGGGCTGGGCCTGCTGGCTCCCCTCCAGCACTTGAATTTGAGTGTCTGAAGAATTTCTTTCCTTGTTTTGCATGTTTGGGTGTGAACAGTGTTGGAGCCAGTGTCACTAATTCCTCTTTCCCTTGACAGAAAGTTGGTGACTCCGTTTTCTGACCGTCATAGATGGTAACTGCAATGCTGAAGACACTGGGCGAGTTGCTCCTCCTCAGCTCTTCTGTGTGAGGTGAGCAACCATTTAGATGGGCAAAACCCCCTTAACTACAGGATGTTTGAGGGCCCTTCTTCTCCCCACAGCACTTCCCTACTGCATCGTATTTCTGAAGGATGCTCAAGATTTCTGAGTTTCACTTGTGCTTCGTATAAGGCCACTTACAGTCTGTGATACATTGTCTAGGTGTTGGGACTCGGCGGGTTGCATTCTGAATCAAATGTGAATTCTGAATTACATTAACCTGTAAGACATGAGCAAAGCAATAAATCTGGTCCCTTGCCCACATTACTGTATTTGGTCAGCTTGATGGTTTTTCCGGTCTTACCTGAAATGCTGTTCATCTGAAACGCAAGAATGAACTAAACTAGATAACAGATATAACATTGTATCTTCTGCTGTAGTTAGTCAATATCTGATTAAATATAATTGCATGAATTTATCATGATAGAGACTGTTTCAAAGTAATTGAAATACAGCTTGAAATTAAAAGTTTTACTGTATATTCAATATATACTATTTTCAGGTTTATCTTGAATTTCTTATCAAGAATGATGCTGTGTATTATGTATTATGACAATGTTGCTTTTCATAAGGTTAGGAATGTAATGGAATTTTCTGACTCAAATTCTAATAACTGATAATTTTAATGAAAATCACCAAGATTATGCCAGTGAAGACAAATCTTAAAGACAGGTGTTATCGCTCTCCTTAGGCTAATATGGATGTGACATTTTCTACCTATAAAAGTAGGATAAATCACTAATAATTAGAACCATGTTGAGAATTTAAACACGGTATAAGTACAAAAGTTGTTACATAAGAAAAAATCAACCTGTAAATATACACCAAAAAACTAGGTCTTGTTTGGTGTGGCATGTACCATGAACATTTTTTGAGACTTCAAAATTGTTACCACTTGAATGTGAATGAATTCAGAATATCTTGAAACTCATGTAAAATCTGCGTAAATAAGTGGCTAGTTGGTCATCTTCTGGGATGAGAAACAGATTTGAATTACTCGCCTGAATCAGAATTTTAAAGATTTTTGTTGTATGCCTGCCTTAACCTCTCTTGTTTTGGAGCTTTTTCATAGTATATAAACAATGTGGAATGTAGGTTGAAGCAGGCATTTAGAAGTCCTGGTTTGTATGGGAGAGTCAGAGACACATTCCTCCTTGCTTCCAATGCTCCACAGTGAATATTTTAATGAGTTGTACAGTGTAAAACTGCTCCAGCAACAGGACTTGATCCATTCTTGTCTCAATCACAACATGGCTCTGGTATTCGTCTGAGGTATTGGAGACCTTAATTAAAATCCCTTAGTCAGAGAGACCTCTCTGGAGTGACTGATTGCTGATCTGGAGCTCAAAGATTGAGAGCTTAAATATAAATCCCAAATTCCAGAGAAGTGCTAGAAAAATGTCTAGTTTTCCCTGTCAGGCTGGCTCATCATGTTCTGATAAGCAACCTCTGCTTCCTTGCTTTTCCTGCTGCACTTCTCACGTTGCTTTGTGTATCCCATGCTCACACATGGTATGGGGGTAAAATAATTCTGGGTCTGGTATTTCAGTTGTTGGGGATCTTAAATGTAAGACATGGGGTCTGTATTCAGAGCTGAATTTTTCACCTGGAATCCATTCTCAACTTTGGTTTAATCTGCCTATAGCATGACAATATTCATGCTAAAGATAAATTAGAGAAAAGAAGGGACACATCACAGATTGTTATCAGATCCCTTGCCATTTATTTGCACTGGTAGATTTCTTCTTAAGAACCTGCTAAAAGCATTTACGATGGCTGGCTTTGTAAGATGGGACTGCAGGCCCTCTGGGAGCTCGCTTTCTCCTCTTTCTCCCCCCCACCCCGCCTTTTTTCCCCCTCTCTTTCTCTTCAAGTGAAGCCTCTATAACAGACTTGTCCTCAGCAAATCAGTCACACAGAGACTATGAAATGCACTGTGGCCACCAAGTTACCCTTAAGATGAGCCTCTTACCTTGGTGTTTTTAAGTTTTTTATCAAAATTTTTTTTTTTTTTTTGTTAATTCTAGGGCCAAAGAAGACAAGAGACTGAATTATCTGAATTATGCTTCTACAACAGAACTGGGTTTCTCCTCATTGGGCATGGCAGAGCCTGGGGAAGTCCTTCTTTTTGTTTATTTTCTTAATGTTGCAAACAGCTGATCTGGAAGCCAGGAGAGGTCATCAGTTTGTCTGGAAAACAGGTAGGAAAAAGACATGTTGGTTTATTTACTAGATAGCTCCCATATTTGAGGATGGAGTAATTGCCCTTTCTCCATTCTGTTTTAGGTCGATAATAAATTAAAAAAAGCCTGAAAATGTCTTCTAATTTTTCTTGTAACTGAAAAACAGAGGGATTTAATCTCTATTTTGAATTAATAATCTTTATCTGTTGCAGTTACGTACCAGACTGACTCTAGAGTACAATTCTGGGCTCTTTAATACTTTTAATCCAAGAGTAAAATTTTTACTGGATTCTGATATTGTAATCTTAATGTTGATTGCTTTGAATTATTTAATAGTTTTCTTTTAATGTTTGATTGAAAGTGCTTGAATGTTCAAAATCGGGCATGCATAACATTTGGAAACTTCTCTGAAGACACACTGATAGCATTGCAATTCTTAGTGACAGGGAGGAAGTAGATAGGAGATATTATGATACAGATGCATAAAACGAAGCATGACACATTGGATGCTTATTTTGTAGCACAACACAGCGTCAAAGAATGTTCAATGAAATGGAAATATTGGCAGATTTGGTAAATGTTTATTCAAAGTACTTAATCAAAAACATACAACTGAACCAGAGGTTTCAGTGACCAGGATACCTTTGGGGTTTGGCCTTTTATGACTGAGCAACAGAGCAATTAAATTTGATGGAAAAATAATTTTCCTCCTTTTTTTGGAGAGGTTCTTTGCTGTTTTAGTTATTTGTTTTTAAATTATAGCTTTGTAGAAAGTAAGAGACTTTATTAGCTGAATAATGAAATGATTATTCTGGGAGGGCTCCTGTCCTTCTGGTAGGATCAATGTCCTCACCCTGCCTGCTGGGATGAGAGGCTGAGTGCTGGTGAAGTGCTAGTTAAGTACGATCTGATACTATATTTCTAAAGACTTTTTTATAATGTCTTGCATCTAAAATGAAGAGGAAATAAACAACAACATAAACTGTCTTTCTCCAATTCACTGTTATTTACATGATTTTTGAATAAGCTTTGAAAGGTAGAGTTGTTTTCTTAAGACAAATTAGACCCTTCAGTGCTGTCTGTCTTCAGTTCTGAGGTGTGTTGTACCGTCAGTCTTTAGGGGTGGGCACTGGAAGTCATAAAAATTTCATTTGACTTGGTGATTGCAGCTGACAATAGAGTTATTGATGCTTCAGAGGCATCTGAGACAGGTGAATTTAGAACTAAGAAAAGGTGGTGCACAGGTTTGCATGGGTGTGGGGTACCATGCTCTGAAAGCCCCATGATGAGCTTGTAAAGGTCTGTCTTCCAGATACAGAAGAAAGTTGTCAGTTCTTGTGACTCCCACAGTGAATTAGAAATATCTGAGCTCTCAAGAGTAATTTTAAAGATCTTGAATCCTAACTATTTTGGTGTACTTTCTCTGCTTATGTAATGACGAGAGGTAGAAAACAACTTTGAGTGAAATGTTTTCCAAGAGAAAATAACTTGTGAGCTTGAGCCAAATTCATTGTCCTGTTTGGCAAAAACAAAGGTGGTTTTCTTTTTTTCCTCGAGTTAAATATTTTTATATTTGTAAACAATTTTTTAATTGGAATATTTTGTTGAAAATTATATGAAAGTTATAGCTAAGCCTAAAATGTTTAGTTCTAGGTTGAAATGAATAGTATGTTCACCCAAAACACTTTGTTTTGCTAAGAAACAAAGTATTATTTGTGAAGCCTCTATTTTCTCTGCAGCAGAAGTAAAGCAGCAGCATTTCTAAATCCTGAATCTCAGTCGTTTGCAATTGTCCTGAGAAATAACACAATGGGCTGAGATTTCTCTCAATAGGCTGAATGGATACTTATTTGGGAAAAATCTTGGTTAAAAGGAGCTGGGTGTATTTTGCAGTGTCAGGGCATATGTAGTAAACTAATGGCTTTCTTTCGATAGTTCTGCTGCATGTGTTGCAGATTTCATTTCTGAGGCACTTTGGAAGCATGTATATGAAAGTAAAATTGCAATGACCTTGAAATTAGTTACAAAAGAGTATAAATGGCAGTCTGCTGTCAGGGTGGCATATGTGGCTTGCTTTTATATGAATTTTTTTACTTTGCTTGGAATGGTTTTTTAGGTATGGTCAATCACAAAGGTGTGTCTTTCTTTCAAAAGATTACAGAGGAATGTTTGGGGAAGAAAGGGGTGGTAACTGAAATGGTGCAGGTAGATCTGGAGAGATGGAAGGGTTAACATAACCTGTTGCAGCAGGGTATTAATAATAAAATAACTTCGGGATGTAAATCATGGAGATCTTGGCCTAATGAGATCTGTGGTTTTTTGTAATAAAAAAAAACCCTAAAAATCATCCCATGGTTTGAGGACTTCTGTGTCCAATACAAAAAAGTAAATAGAAATAAATAAAAGCACATCACAGGGAACCTAAAATGAAGTAGCTTTTAATGTCAGAACTGAGCAGATCCATTCAGATAGTCAGAAAACCTGCAGCTGTTGCTTTTTTTTTTTTTTTTTTTTTGTAAATGAAGCAATCGAATGAGAAATGAGGAATCCCTAATGGGAAATGAGATGATCTGTTTTGTTTTTATATCTTGAATTGTCTGTTGCAAGCATGGCAAGTTACTTACCTGCTGTAGAGAAATTCAACTTCTTATTGAAATGTCATGCTTTATAATTAAATAAGATTATGCTCCTGAAAGCTCTGACTTTAAGGAAATGAATTTATACGTACTAAAGGAAATTTTCCAAGCACAACAAAGTCCAGAGATGCGTCCTTAATATGGATGGGGGTAAAAGAAAGAAAAGCATCATATCAGCACTGGAGTTTATAAAGCAGGCTTTTTTGTCAGCTAAATCCTTGGCTTTATCTAATGAAGACTCATACATTTTCATGCTGGTCTTGCTGGTCTTGGTCTAGGTGAAAGCAATTGTATTGAAATCAGTACACCTACAAAAAGCCCAGATTCTATATTTTTAAAATGTAAGAACTTGGCAGTGTGAGGTAGATTATACATACTCTTGCCTCAGCTCTTCAAAGGGCTATCACTTGCATTTTGCTTATTTGTGGCCCGTCTTAAACCCATTTATTTTTAGCTTTTGGTTTCTAGAGATAATATATTAATGTCTAAATATCTGTACACTGTATCTTTTGGTTTCAAGACATTTCTTGTCAGGTACTTAATTTGTGACCACCAGCCTAAACATGAAAGCAATAATTATATCAATTAAATTACTCAGTAACCTCAAATAGTGGAATAATTTTCCAAGCCTTGCTAAATAACAAAGCAGTCTTAGTGATAAAATCTTGGGAAAATTTAATTGGATCTAAATTATTGTAAATTAATGTTGTTTAATGCAATAGCCAATTAGCACTTTGCATGTTGATTTTTTTCAGCTCTTGAATGGTCCTAAAAGTGCCTGGAATTTCTGAAATGCAAATATGTCTATCTTTTAGTAATGGCCATTCAAGCTTTTAAAACTGTATATAGAATATTGATACACACATGAATCCACAGCGTGATTCTAGTTGGTTTATTTTTTGGTGAAACTAAAATTTAGTTCTAAAGTCTAAAATATGTGCGACACAAGAAATGTTTCAGGTGCTTTACAGGAGAGGGGCTGATAATTAGGATTACAAAATGCAGAAAATTAGCTCTTCTGAGAGACACCTGCAGTTGCTGCACAGGCAGGTTGCAGTCACACCATCACTGCTGATGTCTTCAGCTCTTCCATAAAGCACACCTCAGTAACCCTGCATGTGCGGTTTCCCCTAAAATGCTAGCAGAAATTAAGGGGATAGGAGACATACCTTATAAAAGGTGGCTTTCGGAGCTAAAGCAGTGATGTAGCTTTTTTTTTAACAAGAGGAGTACTTTAAAAATGCCTTTTTTTGGGTGGAAATGTTCTGATTTTTAGGAAAAATGTTCTCTAATTTTGGTAAAATTCTATTTAACACGTAAATAATATTCTGTGTACTATGGAAGGGAGGAAGAGGACTGTTAGAAACCCAGATGCGGTGTTCCAGTGAGTTTTCCACCAGTAATTCTCTAAAAAAAATGAGTCAGGATGGGGATTTAGCCCAGCAGGGACATGCTCCCTGTTATGAATGGAAGAGCACTGAAAGTGAGGTGTCAGACTGGGAAATGGATTTGTAATACCGCTGATAACAGTAGAGAGATTTTTACCTGTAGAAGGAAGCATTAATCTTCTGGTGTTTGTGGGCATCTGGGAGCTAGGTGAGGTGAGCCATAAGTTTTCTTGCCCCAGGTGAACACAAAAAAACTTTAGTTCAGAGTTATTACCCATATTTGAAAACTCTTCTTAAAATAGGATTAGCAAATGGGTTTTGATCATAAGTCTTTCTTCAGAAACAGTCCATAATGGAAAGAGTACGAAATGAACTTTTCAGAGAACAACTTCTAACGTGGAGGAACCTTTGAACTACTGTTGAATGTGGGTGAGCCAGTTACAGCTCAGATGAAAAAGATCTTTTGTCCTCTGTTCTTAGATAATACTGCCATAAAATGCCCTTTCTCGTGATCGTAATTTCAGGAAGGCCAAGTGCTGGTTTGGAAGTGCCTTTGACCTTATGTCTTAAAAGACAAACTTTTACCTATGTACAACAAATGTTAAAAGGAGTCCAGATCTTCAAAGGACGGTAGAGCTCAAACCTACTGAAAAGAGATTCAAAGATAACTCTTCAACAAGTGATATTTTATCAGAAGATCTACAAGATGACGAATGTTAATCTATCCTAGATTAAGTGTTTTGTTTTTTTTTTTTTTTTTTTTTTTTTTTAATCTGATAGGACAACTGTTCATGTGCAGATGTCTTTTTAGTGATCTTTTTCTGGCATCTGGTTCTTTTATGATATTTCTGACTGTCTGACACTTCCAGATTTCTAATTTTGTGGCAAATGTTCTAATTGTAGGTTACGCTGTCTTGGTGCATGGAATTTTAAATATTTAAAATCTAAAATGTAAATATAGTGTTGATTTAATTAAACTTTGAATGATTCTAAG